ATGAAATAATATTTGCGTTAGTGGCTGTAAACAAAAATAAGTCCTATAATTAAACACAAGGGGGTGTCAAATCAAGACGACATTTCATGTGTTTCATAAACCACCTAAGATTGAACGTTTTGGCAAATTTCAAGAAGATTGCCCTAACCGAATTTGTGCTACAACTGCTAGCCTAAAAATTTATGTGTGGGTATACATGTTCTTATGTGTTTTTAGGTATTTTTATTCTCATTTATTGTGGTTGTTGTATGTTTTAGAGAGCGAACATCTACCGAAGACAAATTCCTTGTAAATGTACTTTTACTTGGCCAATAAAATCTGAATCTGAAGAACCAAAATCTTAAACTGAATACGGAACTCTACAGGGATCCAGTGGAGAGAGGCGAGAAGGGGCGAAATACACTCCCTTCGACCAGTCCCAGTAAGAAGACGAGCAGCCAAGTTCTGAACTAACTGCACCTGTGAAAGACATGCTTCACTTACCCCTAGATATAGACTATTGCAGTAGTCCAAACGGCATGTAATGAAGGCATGTATTAATGTTTCCATATCACTCCTGAGCAAGACGGACTTCATTTTATAGAGTTTCCTTAGCTGGAAAAGCAAGATTGGACCACATTATTAACTTGGTCCTCGAACCTCAATTAGAGTCAACTTTGTCACCCAAATTAGTAACAATATCGGTTGCACAATAGGAAAGCTCACTCATAAATGACCATGAGGATCCAGAAACACTACTTGCTTCAAAAACAGTTAGCTCAGTTTTTGAGTCATCGATCTTTAAGAAGTTTGATGCTATCCAGGCCTGGACCTCACGAAGACACAATAAAGCTTTTTGCTTGGTAGTTGTCAGAGCAAAAACCTGACAATCATCTGCATAAAAATGTAAATGCAGTCCATACATGTGAAAAATAGCACCAAGTGGTAGCAAATAAAGAGCAAATAGCAAAGGGCCAAGTACAGAGCCTTGGGGAACTCCATACCTGAGAGAAGCATCACTTGAGTTAAAGCCTCCAAATGTAACAGTTGCATGTCTATTTGATGGTAAGAAGTCATCCAATGAAGTGCTACACCACTGAGACCAACACACTTCTCAAGACGATTGTGAAGTATAGACTGATCTATAGTGTCAAAAGCAGCGGTCAAGTCTAAAAGCAATAAAAAACAGAATCACCTGCATCAGTGAAATTGTAAATGTCCTTCAAAACTCTAAGAACACTAAGAAGCTCAGACTCAGTGCTGTGCAAATAATACATTCTGTCGTGCAAAGCCTCTCCTGAAGTGTGGAAATAACTTACTCATGCCCACACCTTTTAAACTCCAAACACACATTAAACAAGCAAAAGACACAAGTGCTAAAGTTATTTTTGGTCTTTTGACATGTTGACTTCCTAACCAGGTAAAAGAAGGATTTTAAGCCTCAGAGTTAGAGAACTCATGGCAGCTTATTTAAATCAATACTAAACATTGGCCCCAGTTTCAGAGAACAGCTAAATTTAGCCTTTTTTTTAAACTCTGGCCAGAGTTCAGGGTTCTTTCGGATGTGCTGGAGAAGGCTTTGTACAGCGGTCAGACTCTTCCATCATCAATGCAACACTAGATGAAAATAAATTTGGTGACATTGCTGGAGTTTATCAAAACAATGCCACAAGAAATGTGTCCATCCATCCATTTTTGACCGCTTATTTGGAGTCGGGTCTTGGGGGCAGCAGAGAGGCCCAGACTTCCCTCTCCCCAGGCACTTGGGCCAGCTCCTCCGGGGAGTTCCCAAGGTGTTCCCTGGCCAATCGAGAGACATAGTCTCTCCAGCATGTCCTGAGTCTTCCTTTTATTTTTAATTTTAATTTTTTTAACCTTTATTTAACCAGATGAGTCGATTGAGTGCTCATTCTCATTTACAGCGATGGTCTGGCCAAGAGGCAGCAGTAACAGACACATGGTTGGCTTTACACCAAAAAAAAAACAGATAAGATAAAAACATACAAGCTCTAAATAATATAAAACTATTAGACATCAAGACAATGGACTGCTTTCATTTACAATATGTACAAGCAATCAAAATAGACTTTAAACTGTCTTTAAGTACTCAGAAGCACATTGATCAGAAACTATTGAGTGAGCTTTAATGATTTTTGCAGCTCATTCTAGTCGTTGGAAGCAGCAAACTGGAATGTGAAGCAGCCAAAGGAGGTGCAGCTTTGGAAATAACCATAGAGATTTAGAATGTAAATTGCACTGGTTGTTGGAAGTGATGAGTAATGACCAAAGATAAGATGATGTTCTACCGATGATAGTTTTGCAAATAAATTGATTCCAGTGTAACATCCTGTGGGAATGGAGTGATGGCCAGTTAACTAGTGATTACAGATCACTATGATGAGTAGTGAAAGAGCACCAGTGACGAAACGGATTGCTGAGTGAAAAATGACATTGAGTTTATGAAGAAGCTTTTTGGCAGCAGTCCTATAAATGATGTGACTGTAATCTAAGATAAGAAGGATTGTCATTTTGACCAAGGTTTGCTTTGCAGAATGAGTAAAGAATGGCCTGTTGCAGTGTAGAAACCCAATTCTGACTTGACTTCAGAAAGTAATAAATTAATGTGATTTTCAAATGAAAATGTGGTGTTGAGCCAGATACCCAGATATTTATAAGAACTGACAAGTTGTAGTTCTGTACCATCCAGGGAAACAATACTACAGTGGAATGTTGATTGCGGTAAGTTACGGTTAAAGATCATGAACTTTGTTTTACTTGTGTTTAAATGAAGATGAAGGTTGAGAAGGCATGTTGAAGACAATTAAAGTTGTGCTGCAAGGATGACAAAGCTGCATTCAGAAAAAAACTGCATGAATATAAAATGGTGTTGTCTGCATATAAATGTATATATGAATTGTCAACAGCATGAACAATGTTATTAATATAGATTTTGAATAAGGTTGGGCCCGGTATCGACACTTGAGGAACGCCCATAGATAGGATTAGTTCTCCTCCTTATTGGATATGCCCAGAAAACCTCAGGATTTCAGGAGGCACCCTAACCAGATGTCCAAGCCACCTCATTTGGCTCCTCTTGATGTGGATAAGCAGCAAATCTACTCCGAGCCCCTCCTGGATGACCAAGCTTCTCACCCTATCTCTAAGGGAGAGCCCAGACACCCTGAAAACTCATTTTGGCTGCTTGTATCTGTGATCTCATTCTTTTGGTCTCCACCCAAAACCATAGGTGAGGGTAGGAACGTAGATCAACCAGTAAATTGAGAGCTTTGCCTTCCGGCTCAGCTCTCTCTTCACCACAACAGACTGGTACAACACCCGCATCACTGCAGATGCAGCACCAATCCGCCTGTCGATCTCGCACTTCATCTTTCCCTCATTTGTGAACAAGACCCCGAGATACTTAAACTCCTCCACTTGGGGCAGGACCTCATCCCTGACCTGGAGAAGATATTCACGACTGAAGACCATGATCTCAGATTTAGAGGAGCCGATGCCCATCCCAACTGCTTCACATTCAGCTGTGAACTGCTCCAGTAAGAGCCAGATGAAGAGCCAACAGGACCACATCATCAGCAAAAAGCAGAGACCCGATCCTTAGGCCACCTAAATGGATCCCCTTAACTCCTTGGCTGCACCTAGAAATCCTGTCCATAAAAGTTATGAACCGAATCAGCATCAAAGGGCAGCCTTGGCAGCGTCCAGCTCTCACCGGAAATGAGCCTGACTTACTGCAATGTGAACCAAGCTCTGACACTGGTCGTACAGGGACTTAACAGCTCGTATCAGAGGGCCCCGAGGGACGTGGTCAAACGCCTTCTCTAAATAAACAAAACACGTGTAGATTGGTTGGATGAACTCTCACGCACCCTCCAGGACCCCCTGAGGGTATAGAGCGGGTCCAGTGTTCCACAGCCAGGATGAAAACCACATTATTCCTCCTGAATCTGAGGTTCAACAGTCCGATGCACCCTCCTCTCTAGAGCCCCTGAATAAACTTTACGAGGGAGGCTCAGGAATGTGACCCCTGTAGTTGGAACACATCCTGCAGTACCCCTTTTTAAATAGGGGGACCACCACCCTGGTCTGCCAATCCAGTGAAACTGCCTCCGATGTCCATGTGATGATGCAGAGCCGCGTCAGCCAACACAGCAACACGACCCTATAATATCCAGTGCCTTAAGGAACTCCGGGTAGATCTCATCCACCCCCAGAGCCTTACCACCGAGGCGCTTTTTGAACACCTCAGTGACCTCAGCACCAGAGATTGGAGACAACGCAAAGTCCCCAAACTCTGCTTCCTCACTGGAAGATGTGCTGGTGAGATTGAGGAGGTCTTTGAAGTATTCCTAACACAATGAATTTGTGCTGTAAACAATTCTAATGGTGGTGCAATGAAATATTAGAGTGTGACCATTTTTTTTTGGGCCAGGCAGTGTAGTTACATTTTGTGCCATCAGCCCCTCTCACCACCAGCATTCACACACAGAAAGGTGTGATAAAAACATCAACATCAAAATAATTGAGCTGCATTTGACCTCCCAATTCCCAGAGAATGGGACAGCCCGTTTAACACCCCGAGCCATAGCCATCAGCTTTCCCTTTAGTGTTCATAGTGAACATACATCTAGGGGCGACGGTGGCACAGGAGTTAAGTGCTCGCCCTGTAATCGGAAGGTTGCAGGTTCGAGCCCCGCTCAGTCTGTCGCTGTCGTTGTGTCCTTGGGCAAGACACTTAACCCACGTTGCCTGCTGGTGGTGGTCGGAGGGACTGGTGGCGCCAGTGCTCGGCAGCCTCGCCTCTGTCAGTGCAGCTGTGGCAACATCGTAGCTCATCCCCACCAGTGTGTGAATGTGTGTGTGAATGGGTGAATGACTGATTGTGTTGTAAAGCACCTTGGGGGGTTCCAGGACTCTAGAAGGCGCTATATCAAATACAGGCCATTTTCCATTTACATGTCAGATTGAGTAAAATTATTCTAAAACAAGCATGAGTCAACACACATGTTTAATACATTTATTATTGGTGATATCTCATGTAAAATATATTGTTTGTGTTGTGAGAAAAAAATGCATAAATGCTCAATATTCATCATGGAAGGGGTACTCTGGATGATCACTCCACCTATCAGAAGACAGTAAAAAACAAAAACAAGATTTAGTCATTCATTTGTTTTTCTTGGTTTTCCCCACAGTAACAAAACATATTAGATTGTCTTATTTGTGTCTATTTGAGACACTTACATCAGCAGCTCCACAAAGCGAACGTTTTTGTTCAGTGCTTCAATGGCTTTCATTTCATCCTCCGTGAGGGAAAAGTCAAATATCTGTAAGAAACATACAATCTATGATGCAGATGTGCTAGTGAGTGATTTAATGTGAGTTTGATGCAGGGCCACTTCCACAGTCAGACCAAAACGTGTGGTTTGCTTATCGAACTATTGATAATCAATGAAAAATGCATGAAGAAGAAGAAAAGCTTGTTTATCGCTTGACCAAGACAAAAATCCGATATCCATCCCGGATGGACTGCCTACTCACGCCCATACCAAACAATGGTGGCTGCAAGCAACCACAAAGTACAGACACATATTAAAAAAATACATTAGCTATTATATACATTCAGGTTCATGACACATTAAATGAAATAGTTCAGGACTTTGTTTCTTTTGATTTGAATGACTGTGGACCACTTATCACAAAACCCTGAAATTTAAATAATACATAAGATGAATTAAAAAAGGACAGTTTTAACAGAAAGGTTCAGCTTTTGAAAAGTGAGTTCCTTGGTTGGGCCTCCTGTGGCTTTCACCTCTGCATCATTGTGGTGTGGCATAAAAGCCATCAGCCTTTGGCTCTGGTGAAGTGGGATGGAAGTCCAGGCTGTTTTGGTAGCAGCCTTCTAGTAATCTGAAATGTTGGGTCTGGTGTCTCTCATCTTCATCCCACAGACTCTCTATGGGTTAGAGAGTAGGCTTTGGTCACTGGACCTCAGGGACCTGCTGGGGGTGTAGGGACTAAGAAGATCACCAATGTAAGATGGTGCTTGTCCATGTAAGGCCCTATCGACCAGAACCAGGATCTTGAAATGAACCCTGAAGTTGATTGGTAGCCAGTGAAGCTGGAGGAGAAGCGGGATGATGTGGGTGTGTTTGGAGGACTTGGTCAGAAGCTGAGCACAGGCATTCTGGACCACCTGTAGACGGTTCAGGGAGGTTCTGCTCAGACACGTGAAAAGAGGGTTGCAGTCGGAAGAGGCAGAGAAAAGGCAGGGGGAGAGATGCTAGATTTAACCTTATTGACTTTATCCACAAAGAAAGACAGAACATTTTCACTGTGTGTTCAGAGTGGATGGAGGCTGTAGGAGAAGGATGGAGAAACACTACTGCTGATGATGGTAAACAGCACCTTGGGGTTCTCTTTGCTCTGGGACACCAGGCTGGAGAAATAGGCAACCCTCGCATCTCTGACTGCAGAGTTAGAGAATGTGAGAAGATCTTTTAGATGCAGCAGATGGACGTGGAGATGGGTTTTCTTCCATAAGCGCTCAACAAGTGGGCACCTATCCCAACCCAGCCATCCCTGCAACTGCCCCCAAGTCCAGCAGGCAGCTCCAGATCCAGCAAAATCCTGGAATGTGTGTGTGTGTGTGTGTGTGTGTGTGTGTGTGTGTGTGTGTGTGTGTGTGTGTGTGTGTGTGTGTGTGTGTGTGTGTGTGTGTGTGTGTGTGTGTGTGTGTGTGTGTGTGTGTGTGTGTGGCTGGAGTGGCTGGAGCAGGAGGCTGAAGGGAGAGACCACCATCAGCACTGCCGCTCTGCTAGGACCAAGGGCCCACCCACAGGTCATCACCAAAAACAAGCTGAAGCCACCACACACACCAGCCAGGAGTTCCAGCATACCAGGTCTGGAGGCTCCAGCCCGACAACCCCAGAAGCAACACCCAAACCACACCGCAGTCACCCCCCCCCCCCCCCCCCCAACCCTCCACCAACACCCACCTCAACCTAGCCAAGTGAACCCCAGGCAGCCAGGCAGCACCAAGGTGCCCACACATGGTAACGCACAGCCCAGACCAACGGCGCACAGAGACCCAGACTGCTAAATTAATTAAAATAAATCGATTAAAGTTTGAGTTCAACTAACATTTTAAGTATTAGGAATGAAATGAAACACACACGTGCTAAAATAAATTACAATTCAATGAACAACTCAAGTCACTATCCACTCATGTACTATTTGCAGCCTAAATAAAACATAAAATGAGCTACGCTTATATAAGCTACAGTGCAAAACCCATTAATAAGTGAACACATATCAAGCAACACAAACATTACCATAACATGGATAAACTACCTGAAAGTTATGCTTGATCCTCTCACGGGTGAAGCTCTTTGGAATCACAACCACTCCTCTTTGTACATTAAAGCGAAGTGCAACCTGAGCACTACTCTTGTTGTACTTTCTACCAATAGATACCAGCAGCTTGTCCTCCAGGAGAGGAGGAGACTTCAAATTCACCCTAAAAGCAGCACAGCAAAATGTTTACAATAATGCACCAATCACCTGCATTTTGTTTGCAGCTTTTAATGAATAAAAAGTAAACTTACAAAAATAAATCATGCAAGCTCTGCAAAGTGCACACACACTTCTTACCAAGAAGAATCTCTGGAGGAGCCAAGAGGACAAAAACCAACCATCACAATCCCATTCTGACGACAGTACTCCAGAAGCTTGGGCTGTGTGAAATATGGATGGCATTCAACCTAAAAGAAGAACAAAAAACCAAATGTGTCAAAGATCTTAATGGATTAGTTCAATGTTAAGGTGAAAGTAAAGTAAATTTACAATTGTTGGCAGCAATAACCTCCCAACATCATGCTCAAGTCTTAGCTTTCACAAGCAGATAATGCCTGTCTATAATGTCCTCCATGACCAGTGCAGCCTGTAATAAAGTGTATGCCCACTGGGGGCTCTGTGTGGTCAGGTACATCAGGACCAGCATCACCTGGTTGGAAACTGGTTTGTGTTTGAGTCCAGGTTTGTTCAGCAGCAGCTCCAGCTGCCTGCGGTTGAAGTTGGACACTCCCAAAGACTTTACCAGACCAGCGTCTTTACAAGCCTCTAAAGCCTGCCGAAATTTTTAAAAAGTATTTATTTTTCATAGGGTGATTGGCATCACTGATTAAGACAGATGAGATGAAATTACAGTGTAAACGTGAATGATTTGAAGAGATAATTATCAATAACTGACAGAAATGTTCCACATCAGGTTGTTTTTGTAATACATAAGTAATAGAACAAGGATTTTCACATTACAGTCACCACTGAGGAGATAACTACAGCAATAAGAAAACTCACCTCCCATGTTGCACAGAGATCAGTGTGATGATAGATGTATTTTCCATCCTTATATTTTGGATAAAATTCCTTTCCAGGCTTGAATGGAAGCAAATATACATGAGTAATGTCTGAATTTGTGGTGCAGAAAATCACTTGACCTTTATTTGAATATATTGGGACTGATTTCCTCCTAAAACAAAAACTCTTCATAGTCTTCATTCATATATCTTGCAGAAATACTTCACAGCTAAAGTTATTGGCTGATGTGGTTTGTGGGCACCTTGAAGGCCATTGGAAGCTCCATAATGTAGAGATCCACATAGTCAAGTTTCAAGGTCTTCAGCGTCCTCTCCAAGGCAGGTCTCACCAACTCCGGGGGATGGAACGTATTCCAGAGCTGTGGAGGATAACACAAAAAGCACCTAAAGCTGCTGTCAAAATAAAACTAAACAAAATTCTGATTGCATGGAAAGACATGCACATGTAGTGTCTTTGCCTTTTTCCATTGTAACAGCCTGATAAACATTACCTTCCCACAATAAAAGATGTCCTCCCTTTTCACAGATCCATCAGCAATCTTCTCTCTGATAGCCTGACCCACTTCATGCTCGTTGAAGTACACCAGCGCCCCATCAAAGTGCCTGTAGCCTACGTCTATGGCCAGCTTGACACACTCAAGGGCTGAGCCTTTTGGCGTCTATCCAAAGACAAAGTAAACACCATTTATTTGTCTCCTTAAGCTGCAGTGAGAGATTTTAAATGTGATTCATATCACTCCAATAAACAGAATTCTAGCTAGAATGGCTGGTTTGCCAGGGCTATCAAAATTAACTAAAAAACATTTTTGGCACACACAGAGCCAGTATTTATGCATATTTGGAAGAAATAAAGCTGTCTTATACTCACAGTTCGAGGGTCTCCATAGGTACCGAGTCCTAGGAGTGGAATCTGGTTCCCGTCACTCAGAGGGATACTCTGGATTCCTGCAGAGAGATTCATGAGTGAACACTAGTGTGCAACTGAGCTGTTATCAGCACTAACTGAAGGGTAACAGCTTGACTATGAACATTGAACGTTTTATCTAGCAAACACTAGCAAGATATGCCTAAAACCAAACCCCAAGCTTTCACAGCCTAACAACTTACTGAATGACGGTTCGTTATGGGATGGCTGAATGACTTGTAATCTAAAGGCTTACACCAGTCAAGAGTCAAGATTGAAATAACCAGCCCCTTAATAACAACCAAATGGTGAAAATACCCTCTCATACCTACTAGATAAAATTTTGATTTTAGCTTATTGTCAAAAAGCATGAAGAGTGATGCAGCGCAAACTCACTGCTCTCATGCAAAAAGGTCAACAATCAGAGCTAAACAACACAGTTATATTTTATTTCCTCTTAGCTGCGGTCTAAATAATTATAGGTGTTCCATAAGAAATTATGATGAGGATCGTAAATTGGGTCAAAAACAGCTGTGAAGCTATGTAATGCAGAAATGAAGATTAACACTTGTTTTTGCTATTTTTGTCATGTTAGGGTTGTTAAACACGATTTCCCAGCATGCCTTGCACTGTGCAGTGGGTCATTTGACCCAAATGTACAAATGGTCTTGAAAATGTTTCAAGTGGTCATTTAGTAGAAACATTTGGTTTTTTCTGACGTCTGTGTTTCAGTACGTGAACAAAGGCTCAATGAAGTTCAGAGCTTGGTGCCGAATTAATTTATTATTTTATTTGCCAACATGAGTTACTCATAAAATAATTCAGCTCTGATTCTGAATTTACTCCTGTTCAGTTAAAACTGCATTCAAACTTACATTTACACATGCTTTCCTCACATTCAGAAGTTTTTCTTTGTTTGAAACCATTCTTTTCATCTGGTTTTGGTTAGGGTTGTTGTTTTACACATTTACCTCTTCACTCGTTGCCAATGATGAAAGCAAGTCTGGTGTGTTTGCCATTTTGCTGAAGTTTGCAATCCCCAGGGCTTTTTGGCCCTAATGGATATCCGTTGGTAAGGTCTTACTCCAACACAGAAATAATACTTGCTTGAAATGATTTAGGCATCTACTGCCCCCTATCGGCAGAAAAAATACACACTGTCACTTTAAAACCTGATGCATATAATAATAATAAACAACAACAACAACAATAATAATAATACCAATTGTCTGATTTTTATAATTATGTTAATTAACCAGTTAAATTATTTATTCTAATTTAATATTTGGCAAAAATAATACAGCAATATCAAGAAATATCTGCAGTGCTTCGATTGTCCGTTAGAGGGTAGAAAACATGTCTAGAGTTCAAATAAGCAGACTTTTGATGACAGTACTGACCATGTTAAAGAGGTAGATGTCCTGTTCTTTATCTTCAGATCTGCTGTCCAGATTTTCTCAGTTTCATAGCTGAGAGACTTTCCAGGGTTTTTTTTTTAATCAGTACTTCCTCATTCCCCCTCAGGCTCATTATTTGTGGTCGGTATTCCAGGCCACCAGCTGGATCTTTTATTGACATCAACCTCTCTGCCCATTCACCCTGAAAATGGCCCCTCAGAATCACCCCTCAGCTCTGCCTTGCTTGGTGTCCACAGCTCTCTGGCTCAGCTCCAGATGCAGGTGGAAAAGCTCTGACATGATCCTGCAACCAAAGTGCACTTATACTCAATCAGTTCCTTGTCCTCTGCAGTCTTTTTCTCCAACAGAGTACTTCTGAAACCATCCAGTCACATCAGCGCCACCTGCTGTTTCTGTTTGATGTTTACAGGGACTGACAGTGATTGGCATTGCAATGAATGGAACATACAACCAGCGTAACTCTGTTCTAATAAAAAATAAATAAATAAAATGGATTCATTATAGTGCAGGAAAGCTAGTATTTACAAATATATAATACAATATAATACAAATAATAAGTTTTGTAGTTATTTTGGTATTTAAGGAACAAACGAGACTTTTAGGTCTTTTTTAAACTGTAGCAAGAAGCAGCGCTTGTTGCCAGAACACAAAGGAGTACGGTTCTATTCCAAATGCTGTCCTCGTCCTCTCGTACCCTGTAGAACAGACCTTCTGGTGTCCTTGCCAAGAACATACTTGTCTAGTACACAAGAACTAGTGTTCCTGAGTATTGAGAAATGGCCATTTGTCCAAGTGGGCCCTATTCTGTGACTCCATTGTCGAGGCAGCTAACTGTATATATATATATATATATATATATATATATATATATATATATATATACATATGTGTGTGTGTGTGTGTGTGTGTGCGTGTATATATATATATATATATATATATATATATATATATATATATATATATATATATATATATATATATATATATATATAAAAACCATGTAAGTTTATTGCCCTTCGCCTTGAACCGTCACCTTATCGTGGTGGAGGAGTTTGAGTGCCCTAATGATCCTAGGAGCTATGTTGTCTGGGGCACTTTGTGCCCCTGGTAGGGTCTCCCATGACAAATTGGTCTTAGGTGAAGGGTGAGACAAAGAACGGTTCACAGGATCTTTCATGGATGTAAATTCAAAGAGTCAGAGTACCCGGCCCGGAGGGTTACCGGGGTCCCACCCTGGAGCCAGGCCTGGGGTTGGGGCCCGGTGGTGAGCGCCTGGTGGCAGGGCTTTTGCCCATGGGGCCCGGCCAGGCCCAGCCCGAACCGGATACATGGGCTCATCCAACTGTGGACCCACCACACGCAGGAGGAACATGAAGGGCCCAGTGTAGTGTGGACCGGGTGGCAGACCGAGGCGGGAGCCTTGGCAGTCCGATCCCCGGACAAGGAAACTGCGTCACCTCGCTGGCAGGGAAGGAGCAGGAGCTTGTGGCAGAGGTTGAGCAGTACCTGCTAGATATAGTCAGACTCACCTCGACACATAGCATTGGCTCTGGAACCTAAGTCCTTGAGAGGGGGTGGACATTCTCCTTTGCTGGAGTTGCTCCGGGTGAGAGGCGGAGGGCTGGGGTTGGCTTTTTGTTAGCCCCAAGACTCTCTGTCTGTGTGTTGGGGTTTACCCCGGGGGACGAGAGGGTAGCTTCCCTGCGCCTTTGGGTCGGGAACGGGTCCTGACTGTTGTTTGTGCTTATGGGCCAAATATCAGTTCAGAGTACCCACCCTTTTTGGAGTCCCTGGGATGAGTGCTAGATAGTGCTCCATCAGGGGACTCCATTGTCCTGTTGGGAGACTTCAATGCTCATGCGGGCAATGACAGCTTGACCTGGAGGGGTGTGATTGGGAGGAATGGCCCGCCTGATCTGAACTCGAGTGGTGTTTCGTTATTGGTCTTCTGTGCAAGCCGCAGTTTGGCTATCACGAACACCATGCTCGAACATAAGGATGCCCATCAGTACACTTGGTACCAGGGCAGCCTAGGTCGCAGGTTGATGATAGACTTTGTAGTCGTATTATCTGACCTTGGACACCCGAGTGAATAGAGGAGCGGAGCTGTCAACTGATCACCACCTGGTGGTGAGTTGGATCAGATGGCATGGGAAGATGCCGCGTAGACCTGGCAGACCCAAACGCATAGTGAGGGTCTGCTGAGAACGCCTGGCAGAAGAACCTGTCAAGACGGTCTTCAACCTCTGGCAGAGCTTTGACCGCGTCCCGAGAGCAGTGGGGGACATTGACTCCGAGTGGGCCTGTTTCCACTCTGCGATTAATGAGGCAGCTGTTGCTAGCTGTGGTCACAAGGTGGCCGGTGCCAGTCGTGGTGGCAACCCCCGTACCCGCTGGTGGACACCAGTGTCATCGTTCTCGGGTCTAGGTGAGTCCTCCTCCTCAACTAACAATCTTTGGGGTTCTGTGTTCCACAGGTGAGGAGCTGAGGGGTACCAGCTGTTCTGAGTTACTCATTTGGAGCTCGGGTTTAAAAGGAGGATGGAGACACTACTCGAAGCCGGATGATTACTCCACTATTGGTAACGCCTGCCACTCGTACTTGTTTGACCTCGCATGTTTGGATTATTTGGATTTTGACCTTGGACTGTTTATTGGATTACGGCTTTGAACTAGCTCCTGAAGCTCCGTTTGTTTGCCCTCCTAGGATTACCACCCCAACCTTCACCAAATTCTGCTAAGAACCACGGATCCTCATTCACGTCTCATCCTCCTCCACCGCTCCTGCATTTCTCCTCTCTGCTTCCTCACCTCCCGTCCGGCTGGATTACTACACTCATCTCCTTGGCACCCCGCAGCTCGCTGAGCTAAGAACTCTGAGCAATCGCCCTCGGCATCATTCATTGGATTTCAGTGCTACTTCAGTTCCCGTTTGTTTAAATAAAGACTTTAATTTCTTACCTCCTGACTCCTGAGCTGATTCTGCATGTCTTGGGTTAAACGCCTCCCACAAGCCATGACAGAATCATCCGGCCAACAAGATAACCCAGCGGAATCAGCTCTAGCAGACCTGGCTAACCGGATGGCACAGCAGGAACAAACACTTCCTGTCCTGCTCGATCAACTGGCGGTAGCTAATCAACGGTACCAGCAGTTGGAGGCTTTGGTTCAACAACTCCACGATCGATTACCGGCTCCAGCAGCACCTCCAGGTCCCGCCCAGGCTCCGGTAGCGGTCCCGGAACTAGCGTCACCGGCTCTGATTCAGCCCGGACCGGACGTACCCGGACATCCGGAACTCACCCACTTCCGTCTAGCTCCGCCGCCATCTTGTCCAACATTTTCCGGTGAATTCGAGGACGGATATGGATTTTTATTACAATGTCGCCTGGCTTTCAAGCGTTGTCCAAGCGCTTTTTCTTCCGATTCTGCAAAGAACTCTTTTATTGTGGGACTGTTAAGAGGCAAGGCTCTTAGATGGGCTGAGGCAAAGAGTTGCAACCCTGAGTTTTTATCTGGTTCCTATGAGGATTTTTTGGAGGAGTTTAAATTGACCTTTTGTAGCTCTGAAACAGTCACGGACATACGCAAGAAGTTGTTACACCTCTCCCAGGGTCGGAGAAGGGTAGCTGACATGGCACTGGAATTTAGGACTTTGGCTGCAATGACCACTTGGAACAACGAGGCCTTAAAAGCAGCTTTTAT